TGCTAAAGGATACATTTATGCTTGAGAACAAAATGCTGTGTATTCAAAACTTTAGAAACCTTTATTCCTCTGCCAAGTGGTGAACTGATGTTGGTTTTGATAGGAATATGTGAAAATTTAATTTTCTATGATGTTAGAATTATGAATTTTAATTATTTGCTAAATACATTAGAAACTTAATTCTGATAGCGATTTAGTAAAATTAAATATTTCCATGATGTGTCATGACATTTTGCCAAAGCTGATGCCAAGTTTTTAGACACCTGGTCTCAATCTGAATTTTGTGTATCTTTAATGCAGCATCATCAGATGACATCATAATTTTACAGGCTCTAAGACTCAGATTAGCAATGCTTCGACTATAACTCATGCCTAAAGAGTAAATATTAACAAGAAATAAATTAATTTCCTTGGGCCATTCATGAGCTCGTTGTATAAGTCACAGTGCAAAACAAAAAACACCTGGCTAGATTAAGCAATGTGCAGATAAATTAATGTTTGACAGCAGCCAAGCACTCACAATATCTCTCAGAACACTAGTTACAAGTGATTAAACAGACATCCTGATGGAAACATTGGGCATTTAGTTTGAAGAAATACAGAATTGACTCAGGTAGATAAAAAATGTCTCTAAGATTTCTCACAACAGGCCATTGAGTTTTATGATTCCTGAGTCTTTATAATTTCCTGAGCTCTTTTTAAAATTAAAAGTCTAAATTCACATTCTCACCAAAAATATATTTCTATAGAACTGAGTAAACCTTGGTATGAATTTCTCTGAGTCTGGTCTGGTTTTGTCACTGTTGTCATTAGTATTTTTGCAAAACTGTTAGAAACATTAATTCCAGTACCGCTGAGTCCAAAAGTCTTGGGTTGGAGGCCTGAAATCTGTAATGAGTATATTGAAAAGCTCCTGGTTTCTTCTGATGTGTGCTGGTTCGATCACTATTGTCTAGGAGTTCCTGTGTTCTTGGAGTCAGAGAACGATGTGTCCGAGGCTTATCTTTACCATGTTTATCTTATTGGGCTGATCTTCTAACAGGCTGAATGCTCATCTAAGGAGCTTTGTGTGCATTCCTGGTATTTAGAACTACATTTGTAGGGTACCTTGATTAGAAAGTCTGAAATGAGAAACAGAAGGATTCTTTGATTCAACAATTTATGTTCCACAGACAATAATGGGGAATCTCTGTATCTTTAGAGAGTAAAGGGTAGGAAGCCATTACAGAAAAAGAGGCAGAAATACATTGTAGACTATGAGAAACAGCTGCACGCCAAGATCCCAAACATAATAAATGTCATATATGCTTTTTTTGTGCTTAAGATCATGGATTCTGGGTCCAGAGTGTTTGAATTATAACCTTAGCTTTCTGTTAGGGAAGATGCTTGCTTGAGTACTTTTGGTGCTTGCTTATGAAATGCCAATCAAGTGAAACAATTGAGTATTACTGCAAGATTTAGACCAGCATAAACTCAGAATACATGTTACATTAACCAAACCCAAATTAAATAGTGTTGATATCACCTTATATCTGTGATGGTTTTGGTGGTCACAACAAAAGTAAAATTTTTAGATCTTTATTAATTTAATATATTATACTTAAGTGATTGAGAAAGTATAATTTCATATTTTAAGCTAAGAATCTCATTCACTCATCCAATATTAAGTCTACTTAAAGAACAATTTTTTTCATCTCAAATTGATTAATTAAAACTGATTTCTTTTAAAAGATAGTCTTGTGAGGCTGGAGAGATGGCTCAGCGGTTAAGAGCCTGCTCTTCCAAAGGTCCTGAGTTCAATTCCTAGCACCCACATGGTGGTTCATAACCATCTGTAGTGAGATCTGGTGCCGTCTTCTGGCCTGCAGGCATACATGCAGATAGAATATTGTACACGAAATAAATAAATAATTAAAAAATATAGTCTCTCACCATGTATCCCTGGCTGGCTTTGAAATCTATGTAGACCAGGCTGGCCTTAGACTCATAGATCTGTCTCTGCCTCCCAAATGCTGGGATTAAAGGCATACATCACCATACCTAGTCCGACTATTGATTTTTTACATTAATTAATTGGATACAAATTTAAATTTAATATATTTATTTTTATTAGTTTATAATTCTATTATTTGGATTATTGTTCTTGCGTGAAGCACAGAGTGGTTATAGTTCTTTAATTATGTATGTTTCTGCATGCTTTGGTCAGAGAAAGCCAAATAGTTTTTTAAAATGGTGAAAAATATAGGGCAAAATACGTTGTATTGCAGTTGAATAATTAACAGATATGGACAGTAAACAATAATTGGAGAACAACTTAATTTTTGACCTGAAACTCAGCTGTAAAAGATGCTTTTCACTTAGTCCACTAATGCAGAGTTCACTTAAAAATCTGTATACACTATACAGCGAGTCATCTGTTGAAATTTCTTTGTGAGTAAGGGACTGGAGAGTCCTAAATTAAAGCTGATATAGTAAAGTAAATCCAGCACAGAATTTATATAAACTTTTCATTTAATTTTAGTCTTTTATTGGGCTCTAAATTTAAATGAAAAATTTACAGATACATGAACTAACTTTGTATGCTATGGCAAATTCATTTTATACTCAGTCATTTTTATACTCAACCAAAGTGCATTTAATTCATTTAAATTTCTATTTTTATTTTTGGAACTTTACTAAAAGCTCATGATTTTCACATTACCTGACTAATAAGTCTGTTTACATTATTTCATTGACCCACTCTATAGTTTTGGGTTCAGGACTCTTAGTTTTTGATACATTTATTTTTTTTACTTTAAATCAAAGATTGAAAAAACCCCACATATTCCACGATCCTTAACTGGTCATAATTAGTTATTACTCAGTTACCGTTTACACAGTTGTTTGGGGTTCTTCTATGGGCAGCACAGAGAAGTGACGTGTGGGTGATGTATCCAGGTTTGACTTCTGTGAACACAGTTCTTCTTAATTTGTTGTTATGTCATTGCATCTCCAGAACTCTGTGTTAGCATTGTATCTCCAAAGAGTGCAGGCTCATCAAGCTTTTTACACTAATGATTTCCTGGAACAGTGTCTTCCAGAGACAGAGAATTGTCCCAGGTATGTGCTTCCCTTCCAAACGTGCTGCTGAGATCTAGGTAGACAGAGAACTGTGCCATGTGAATCGTCTCTGTTGGTGAGTTTTGTAAAATAAATGGGTAGGCTAATGAACAGAAAAAATGTAGCCCCTCACAAACTAGTGAGCGTTGGGAGACGCATGACCTTTTATAATTTACATAGCACCCTCCCTTTCAATGTTTTATGCTGCAGGCTTTTCTTAATAATGTTTTGTTTGTTGCTTGTATCCCAGGTGGAGGAGAATTTGCAGCTTTTTCTTTGCCAATTTCTTTCTTTCATATATTAATCTTGAGAGAAATAATGGCTGCTAGAATCTAGAAGAAAAAGTTAGAAATGAGAGCATACTGTAGAGTCTTGATCATTCAAAGAATAAAGACTAAGATGACTCAAGATAGGACTTGAGGTATAAATGCCTAGATACCACTCCCCTCCCCCCACTTTTACCTGGTGGTTCCCATTGACTCAACCCATAGAAAGGCAGTGGAGAGGCCATATGGGTGGATCTGGAAGGGATAATTCTGAGTTTTCTCTGTTTATTTTTAGTTCAAATGACCTACGTATTGGAGAAAAGTGTAGTTTTGTGAAATCACTTACTATTAATGGATTAATGCAAAGCTGTGTTTTTTTTTAAAAAAAGAATGTGTTATACATAATGTAAGTCTCTCAAATGTGTAAAGAATTCATATGTTGCTAAAATTAATTAAGTATTCAGGCTCACATGGAAGTTAAATCTATCACTACTAGCAGCAGTGTTCAAGGGATGTAAATTAGGATGAAATCATACGAAGCCTGGAGAGGTGACTTAGTAGTTGAGTGTTTGTTGCACAATCAAGAGCACAGACTTAGAATCCCTGCACTCATAATCCTGCAAACCCTTGTCACTATAGCTTTGAGGGAAACAATGCCCTCTTCTGGCCTCTACTCATACAGGTAGACACACATACACACACACCTCAGCTAAATAAAATATTTTTTTCAGTTTTTCTTAGTTTAAATCTGATGCATTAAGATAATTAAATGAAATTTATGCACTGACAATGATGAAGCATGCAAGGGCAGCCCATATATTGTGGTTCTGTTGAACTTGTCCGTATTGGGTTTCATGGTCTAAGTTGATGAGGATGACTGACCAGGTCTCTTCCTCAAGAATGGCACCAGATCTTATTACAGATGGTTTTGAGCTACCATATGGTTGCTGGGAATTGAACCCAGGACCTCTGAAAGAACAGGCAGTGCTTTTAATGGCTGAGCCATCTCTCCATGCCATTAAGACAGTTACATGAAAACAATTACCATGAAGTTAAGGTACAGCCAGAAAATAAATGCAAAACCAAGTGAAATGTTTGCATCAAAGTTTATACCGAGGAGCTAGAGTCCATCACGGTGGGGAAGGGGTGGCAGCAGGAGCAGGAAGCAGCTGGTCACATTGCAGCTGCGGGGTAAACTGGAAGTGGGGCCAGGCTACAGAGCCTCAGTGCCTGCCTCCAGATAATCGTTCCTTTTAGTAGTGAGTGATGTTCTTCTCATAAAGATTTTACAGCTTTCCCAGCAGAATGAGCAGCTGGGAAACAAATGTTCAAACACATGAGCCTATGGGACACGTTTCACATTTGAGCCCCTTGTTTCCTCTGCTATTTACCTTTTTTTTTTTTGGTTTGGCAAATTGCATCCCCCCCCCCACTGTTAATCTATTACTGACATTTTTTTTACTACATTTTGAAATATTTTATATTAAATTATCACATTTCTAATTGTAAAATGATGTTAGAACCCTAAAACACACTTTCTTAGTTCCTTTGCTGTCACGGTGATAAAATACTGTGACAATATCAGGTTGAGGGAGAAGGGGTTGATTGGAGCTCACAATCAAGACACAGTCCCGCATGGAAGGTAAGTCAAGGCAGCTGAGACTTGAAGCAGCTGGTCACACTGAATCTAGTGTCAGGAAACGGATGAGTGTGAGCCGCCAGTCCATTCCCTTCCTCTGCTTCACTTAGTCCAGGATTCTCTGTGTGAGATTTAACTAATCTACAATTAACCTCAATTGATGTCACCAAGATAATCTCTCAAAGATTTGTGCAGAGACCCATCTCCCAGGTGAGACCAAATTGGCAGTTGGCAGCCAACAGGAGCCATCATACACATCATACACATTTATTTTTTTTGTTGTTGTTGTTTACAACAGTTCTGTTCTTTGCATTAATATTGGCACACGTCTCTCTCTCTCTCTCTCTCTCTCTCTCTCTCTCTCTCTCTCTCTCTCTCTCTTTCTCATACACACATGCACACACTCCCTATCCAAGTACTTCGGACACCATTATTCCATATTGTAAAAATCAAGTCTGTTTATTTTAGCCCACACATTTATTCTTCCTCTTCTTATGATTCTTTTTAAAATTCCCATGTTAATTCTTTTTAACAAGCTTCATTTAAGGATGGAGAATGTAGCTCAGTTAACTGCTGTAGTGCTTGTACAGCACCGTTGTCCAGCACTGTATAAAGCGGGCATGGAGATGGCCGCCCATAATCCAGTAATAGGGAGATGAAGGTTGGAATATCAGAGGTTTAAGTTAATCCTTGGGTGCATAGACAGCTTGAGGCAAGTCTAACCATGAACACCTCCAAAGAACTTAATATACCTTTTGATGTATGTCACTTGGAAATAAATTCTATTAGTTTTTGTTTGATGGAAAACATTTTTCATTTGTTTTCGTTTCCGGAGTTTTTTTTTTTAACAAAAAAAAAACCTGGAAATAGAATCAATATGTCAGTTATTTTGTGTCTATTTCTTAATTGCTTACTTATATTCATTTATTTCTTTGAACCTACTTGGAAATTGTTTAGTAATAATTTCATACTTTTCCTTTGTTCATATGGTTTGATATTATTTCTAATGTTTAGCCCTGAGATCTTGAGAAACTTTTGGCATAATTATGATTTTTGATTGAATATATTGCCTATGAAGTAACTACAGCTAATGGTGTTTGTTGTTAAGTGGGAACTGCACCCCTCCACTGGGCATATTGGGCGGGGTGTTGTGACCACCAATAGGGAATCTTTTCTTTGGAACATGGATCACATTACCTTTTCCCCTCAGGACCAAGAGGGTGGAAGGCATTGTTATCTCTTCAATACAGTACCTAGCTTCATCATGTGACCTTTTGGATTATCTGGGTTCCAAATGCACTATGTATGTTTAGGGAATACAGATCACATTTTGAGACATTAGAGTTGTCCTTTTTTTTTTTTTAAAGTTCTCATTCCAAATGATTCATAAACATCTGTTGGTTTCCTTAGACCCCAGAGGAAAGCTCCCGGTTCCCAGGCTCTGGCTGCATTCAGAATCCTCAAGTAACCACAACACAAAGAGCTATAGCTCTCAGCTCTGTTTCCCCCAGGACTTTCTAGTTTATTTTGCTCTGTTCACAGGGGCCCCTCCCTCCAGACTGTTTGTCTACTCAGAGTAAGGGGAAAAAGCATTGAAATTTCGGCTTAATCAGATGTTTTGTGTGTGAGTCCTTTATCGTTGCATACCGTACACCTCAACTCTGGACAGTATTTGTGAGGGGAATCCTCTCTGAGTGAAGGCCCCTGGGCTGCCTGATTTTGACTACATCATAAGCACACCAAGATTTCATAGCTTCAGTCTGTACCCGAACTTCTCCTTAAGCTGAAGGGAACACAAATGTGCTGGAATTAGTATCCCTCTCCTGCAGATTCCTCCTGAGCCTGCTGGCCTTTCTGACTTAAGAGTTCCTCTGTTATACTGCTACACTCCTTGCAGTGGTTTTTAAACACGTGAATTTTGGATTTCATCCAACTTTTATTTGTTTTCTGTTGGCAAACGCAAGTCTTCAACAAGCTGCTCTCAACTTGCCAGTAGATATTTCCTTCACTGGATTTCTATCTTCCCTGTGGCTAGTAAAAAGTGTCAGTTTTCTAGTCTTCCAAAAGACAGTTTCCTCCAGATGGATGTGAATGTCTCAGCAAGCTTAATACCCCATGCATGTCTATGAGGTCTCTGGCCCTCAAGGATCACATAAAAAAACACATTTATTAATCCCAAGGTCCCCAAAAGTGTCTGCTATAGTTTAAAAATGTTTCAATACTAAATTTAAAGATCTCATCTATACTTCATCAGTTCAAAGAACCAAAACTTATTATTTACAACATATAAATCAGATATGGATGGGGTTCCAGTTTCAGTCTTTCCTAAAGGAAAATTATGTCTTCATCTCTAAAATGAAAAAACAAGTTATTTGTCCCAAAGGTATCCTACAGAGATAAGAAACCAGCATTGAATAGTAGCTGCAGTTATTTCCATTTAAAACATAGAAAGGCATAAATGTTACCAAATTCAAATTATCTTTCCCCACAATGTAGTAAAGCTAGAAATCAAAACGACGAGTTTAGGACTGCAAAACTTCATCAGATGAAACAATTTACCTTTTACTACTTATGATTGAGCCATGGCATCGCATTTGCTGAGCTGTGCCCTATTTTTTTTTGTTCCGAGACTCAGGCCAGCTATTTGAATTTGCCCACCCACCCCGTGGGTCTCAAATCTCTGATCTTCCATTTCAGCCTTCCTTCTTAGTAGCTGGGATTGTGTACTGGTGCCATGAAGCCCTGCAAACACAGCTTAGTTTCTAATAACCAAAGAATCAATAAGGAAACTGTGGAGATGACAGAGGCCTTTATCAGTGGCCATCCTAATCTTTCTATGGAGTGTTCTGAGGGAGTAAATGTTTAGATTCCTTGATATATCTGAGACAATTGCAAAAGGCTTCACACTCTTGAGCTTTTCTTAAGAAGATACTTTCTTAACTTGATCTTTGCATCTTTTGCCATCTGAACAGGCCATGGAATTCCCATATTATCAAATTTACCTTTCCTTTTCCTGAAGAGTTCTTCCTTCAGTCTAGGTTCTTCTTCTCATGCTTTATTCCTTGTGGAAAGAAGAACCTGGACGCAGTCACTAAAAATTTACTTTCTACATAAGTGCAAGAAATGCCATGTGACATTGTCTACCCTGTATAATAAGGGTCCTGAACCCCAACTCCTGAGCAATGCCTTTTGTTTCCTACTCATTCTTCCAAGGAATTTCTTGGGTACTCGGATTTCTGTCGGCAGAGAGACTATGTAGGCATGCAGGATGATACAGGGTTTGTCTACCACACCCTCCACTTCACTCTGACTCTTTTCCAGCCAGGCCTTTGACCAGGTCACTTGTGTTCAAAGCAAACTCACATTTTTTTGGGGTTTCTCACATTCTTGGTATTCTCCCAGCCTGTACCTTTCCCCAAATTTCAAAACTCCTCCTGCATACTTAAGTATCTATATAATAGTATCTCTGCATTCATTATCAAATCTGTTTTAATTCTCTCACTGACAATAAATTTAGTGGATTAAAGTAACTTAGGTTTATTATCTATGGATACAGAGTCCAAAATGGATGAGTGGAGTCTCATTTCTCCTGGCGATTTTAGGGGATGATGTGTTTCTTTGTCCTTTCCGCCTTCCAGAGGCCACTTAAATTTCCAGCCTCCTAAAATGCTCATCCAAGTTCAAAGCCAGAATCAAGGCATCTTTGAATCTCTGGCTCTCATCCTCAATTCATGTCTTAAAATTTCCCTCCTTCTGGCTCTGCTCCTCCTGTCTCCCCTTATTCACAAAGGCTTTGTGATTACAGTGTGCCTGCCCATCAGGATAATCTTCCCATCTCAAGATCAGCCTTTGCCATAAAAGGCAATACATTTGCAGTTCCTGGGGATCATATGTGCATCTTTGGATAGCTTTTATTCTGTCACATGCACTTACTTTATAGCCATATATTTCAAGTCATTAATTCTGTAGAATTTTGAACTTCTAAATTGTTCTCTCATTGACATATTATTTATGCTTTACAACACTAAATCACAGATTGACTATTTTTCTTAGTGTTTCTGTTGTGACATCCTTTGCTTTATTCAGGAGTATGAAGATGCCCAGGTGATGGAAGCACCATGAAGTATAATGGGCATGAGGATTAGATGTATCTTTTGATCATTTTAGATATATCTCATTGTATTTTAAATATGCCACACTGGAAAATACCTATTCTATACTTTTTGTTATGAATAAGATAAAAGACTTTAGAACATTGTTGGTAAGCTAACAGAATATCACAGTAGGTTACATTCTGTTACCTGTAAGGGTGGCACTAGAACCTGAGAGCAATAACTCTTAAGGATAAGTGAATCTCTGTGTAGTCTGCTCTGATGAGATCCTTAAGATACACATGAAGCATAATTTGGGAGCTGATGTCTCCACTAATTAACATTACTGTTGGTTAACAACCCTAAACTTTTATTTAGACATCAACTGGAAAACTAGTTAAGATGTAGTGAAGCTGTTTTTCTCATTCTAACAATTGCGCTTGGATTTTTTGGAAGCGTTAGTCTCTGGAAGATATAGTCTCAACTACAGAGGACTTCTTTTCACCAAAATGAAAATAAAATTTGGATTTGTTTCTTCATTTAAATGATCTAAATATGATTGTTTTAGAATCCCTTTTTGAAAAGTCACCTGGGTAAGGGTGTGCATCTAAAAAATGCATTTTAAGCTATCTAGAGCCTATGGGATTCGGTAAGGTGAGGACACACACACATATTCCATGCCTATTTTGCTCTGTAATCTATGGAACTCTGGGTGTTAAAAGACCCACAGATTGCTGCAGAGGGAACAGGTCAGGCAGGCAAGGGTTCAGTCAGAGCCTTCTCTTGGGTCTGGGTTTTGTTCTGGTTCTGCACATCCTTTGTTAGCAGCCCCCCGCCCCTCAATGCAGTTGCATAGAAATTGCAACAGATTATTTGGCGTAAGCTCCATTCGAAGAGACGAGACCTGGACTAAATTCAGGCCACCTCATATCTTTACTTCAACCCCAGCAACGATTCCTTGTCCGGCTGAAAAGAGAATCTTCCGTAGTTAGCTGTTGCACACACATTCTTACTGAGCTGCCTGCTGCTCATCTCTTCCTCTTCCCTCTTTCCTGTAGTGTTCTTAGTGTCCTGAAGGTTCTTTCCACAAATTTTATGTTATACCTCAAGGTTCCCTCGATGCTCAGGCAGTTGTCAATTTTCATAACTTGTTTATCCGAATATCTTTAGAACAAATGTCAACCACCATCACTTAACTCACTCCTTAAACTTTCTGCTCTCTGGATCCTATGATGACATTATTTTGGGGGACAAAATGAATAGTTTATAAAACAAAAAATGACATGGCATAACCTAGCTCATCAGAAATTACAGTTTACCAATTGTTCTAACATACTTGTGACTGTGACCCTTGTGAGTCATCAGAATACTTCATTGGTTACCTAATGTCTTGATCTTGTTTTCAAGTGAGGGAAAAGACTTGATAATGATACGGAACTGAATACATGGAAGATATAACCGAAATGGCAAATACAAGACCACACAAATAGTATTCTACTATACCTGTTTGCGATTAATGCTGACAGTAAGAGACACAATGAACTATCCACAAGCACATCCATTGCTTCTCCTTTTTTCCCCATTCCATTCTACTTCCTTTTCACATTCAAAAAAAAAAAAAAGAAAATGACAGCTATTGGATTTGGTTGTGTACTACATTTGTGCGTTGTTTTGACTTCCCACAAGCTAGTTCAAATGAACATCATGCAATGTTACTCTTAGTGGTGCGTTGTGGGAAGTCCTTCTGTATATGTGTTGCTTTTATTGGTTAATGAATAAAAAATCTGTTCTTGAAAAATGGCTTAACAGAATATAGCCAGGCTGGAAGAAATATATAGAGAAAAAGGAGGCAGAGTTGCGAGATGCCATGTAGCTGCCAGAGGGGAAAAATGTGAGCTTCCAGCTGGAACCTTGCTGGTAGGCCATGAACCTTGTAATAAAATATAAAATAATGGAAATAGATTAATTCTAGATGTAAGAGCTAGCTAGCAATACGCTTAAGCTATTGGCTAAACAGTATTGCAAATAATAAAGTTTCTGAGGGATTATTTCGTGGTCTTGGCAGCCATGAATAAATGAGCACCCTCCTACAGCAATGGTGAGGAAGATTAAAAATCTGAAAGATTTTTAATGACTAAGTTATGGGGACATGTTTCTATAAAGAAATATAATTCTATAAAAACACTTCAACTATTATTAGAGATCCTAGAGAAGCTAAATAAGAAGGTGAACCTGAAGAAAATCATGTACTTATCCTCCTGGAGATTGGAAATAGACAAGAGTCCCAGGTAACCTCGGGTGCATGGGGGGGTGGGTGGGAGGGTTGTTGGAAGGGGAGAGGGTTAGAGAGAAGGGAGTAGGGGAGGAATGGGGAAAACTCGGGGGACTGAGATGAGGGGAGGGAGGAAGGATGGATATGGGATCAGGGAAGAATATATTTCAACTAAGGGAGTCATTTTAGGGTTTACAAGAGACTTGATTATAAATGGGATCCCAGGTCCAAGGAGAGATCACCAGATTATTCTCTGGACAGAGGAGAGGGTGCCTGAACCGGCCTTGGCCCATAACCATACTGATGAAGATTTTGCTTATCACCATAGATCCTTCATCCGACGATGGATGGCGATACAGACGGAGACCCACTTTGGAGCACCAGACTGAGCCCCTCATGGTCCAAATGAGGAGCAGAAGGAGGAAGAACATGAAAAAAAAAACTCAGGACCGCGAGGGGTGCGATCACCCACTGATACAAGGGGACTGATATAATGAGAAGTTCACCAAGGCCAGTTGGACTGGGACTGAACGAGCACGTGATCCAACCAGATTTTCTGAAAGTGGCCGGATTCTCTGAATGTGGCTGGCCCGGATTCTTTCTGAAAAGCCATTGACAATGACACCGGGACTTGTTTCCTCTGCATATACTGGATTTTTGGGATCCAGTCTGTTTGGATGCTCACCTTCCTGGACCTGGAGGGAGTGGGGAGGAACTTGAACTTCCCACAGGGCTGGAAGCCCTGACTGCTCTTAGGGATGGAGAGGGAGGAGGAGGGGGAGGGGGAGAGTAGGAGGGTGTTGGGAAGAGGGGCGGAAATGGAAACTTTCATAATTTAATAAACTTTAGAAAAAAATAAGAGCAGCGAAGAGGAGGAGAAGACCGAGAATGAGAGTCTGGGCTTAGTCTACAAGTCCACGCGCTCGGCGAAACCGGTGGGGCCCGAAGATATGGGGGCGACAGCTGTCTACGAGCTGGACACAGAAAAGGAGAAAGACGCACAGGCCATTTTTGAGCGCAGCCAAAAAATCCAGGAGGAGTTGAGAGGCAAGGAGGATGACAAGATCTATTGTGGAATTAATAATTATCAGAAATACATGAAGCCCAAGGATACGTTCATGGGCAATGCCTCCTCCGGCATGATGAGAAAGGGCCCCATCCGAGCCCCTGAACATCTCCGTGCCACCGGGCGCTGGGATTATCAACCTGACATCTGTAAGGACTACAAGGAAACCGGCTTCTGTGGCTTTGGAGACAGCTGCAAATTCCTCCATGACCGTTCAGATTACAAGCACGGGTGGCAGATAGAACGTGAGCTTGATGAGGGCCGTTATGGTGTGTATGAAGATGAAAACTACGAAGTAGAAAGTGATGATGACGAAATACCATTCAAATGTTTCATCTGTCGCCAAACCTTCCGAAATCCAGTTGTCACTAAGTGTAAGCATTATTTCTGCGAGACCTGTGCACTGCAGCATTACTGTACCACTCCATGCTGCTATGCTTGTGAGCAGCAGATCTATGGGGTCTTCAATTCCGCTAAAGAATTGATTGGTAAACTGGAGAAGTATCAAACAGCAGAGCGTGGTGCTTCCAACACCCCAGAAGACCCTGATGGAGTCTAATTGCCATCACTTAGGTTTTCCATACTTGTCAGATCTCAAAGTACCTTTTGTTTTGGTCACCTCAAAAACCAACCATAATTGAAGGAATGTTAAATTTTCTAGGAAGAGTATCCAAGTTTTGTTTTATGTAACAATGCTGCAGATTAAATCAGTCCAGTTGACTTTGGAACTCTCAAACTACCATCCTGCATATAGCTATACATTCTAATAAATTAATAACTAGTTCATAAAAAAAATAAAAAAATAAAAAAAATAAAAAAAACCACTTCAAATGTTTAGGCCATATTAATAGAAATAATAGTCTTGTATCCTGTAGTTAGACTGAGTAGGACATATCACTGAGCAATCTACGTAGCAATAAGGAATACTTCATTTAGTTCTTCTTCCGACCTTATGAGACAGTATGAATTTATTTCAGTGGCAATGCTACAGACACTGAGTGCTGAGTGCAGTCACTTGGTGTCTATCCAAGTTCATGCTGAGAACTTAAGAATAAGTAATACCTTGGCCATTCTGAATCACAGAAAATAACTGTGCTTCATAAAAGTTATGAAATGTGGCCTTCTCAGATTGAAAATGTGTAAGAAGTCTCATGTCAGATAACCTACATAGTACAATTTCTTACTAAATGTAGACAGTTTGTGTCTATAGCATTTGGGTATTCAAAGAGATTCCAGTAATCTCCTATGACATTAGTCAGCAGCTTTGGTTTATTGAGAAGGTCAGAGGGGTATAGTACAGTTCAGATAAGTTTAATTGTATGTCTGAAATGAAATTCTAGAATTGAGCACATCAAATGGAAATGTTTCCTATAAACTGGACATGATAGGACATAGCCATAATTCTAAAGCACAAGAGACAGATACAGGAGAGTCACAAGTTCAAGGTCATCCGTGTCTAGGTAGTGAGTTCAAGCCTATCCCAGGCTAAATGAGATCCTGTTTGCAAAAGAAAGATCCACCCTAACAATGACTAAATAAAACAAAAATTTCAATCTTTATCTGTGATATGAGCAAGTGTATGAGCAGTTAAACAGTCATGATGAAAGGAAGAAAGCTTCATTAGGAGAGTGGAGAAATGAAGCCTGCTTATAGCTTGGGAGAGTGGAAGCTGTTGTTCAAGAAAGAACATTTGCAAGAGCTATAACTGAAGTGGAGCTTAAAGCATTAACTGAGAGCAAAGAATAGAGTAAGAAAGGTCAGATCAAAGCAAAGTGGAACCACACAGAGCATGAGATAAAAATTATTTAGAAAATTAAGAGTAATTCTATGTAGCTGAGATATAGAATGCCATGTAGGGATGAGGTGTAGGGTTTTAGGAATGCTGGAACCTTTCATGACCCAGTTGTATATGACCCCTAAGCTACTGGACAATCACACTCAACGAGAGACTTAGAAAAGGTGTTCTGAAGTCACTGGCTCACCATGAAGATTAAAGTTGTGGGCTCTTGTTGAGGTGTGTGAATCAGAATCAGGTTTTTAAGAAAAGGTTACGGAAAGGTGAGAAACTGAGAGAAAGTGAGAGGAACTCTGAAGAACTGGGAGGAGTTTCTAAGAAAGGAAAGGGCTGCTGAATTTCTTCTAGAGTTTTTGAAGGGAAAGAGAGAAGTTTGGTTGTTGAGAATAGGAGGGAAATTCCCATCATAAAAGCAGACTCACAGAAAAATAAGAACGTGAAAAGGGGAATGTATGAAAACTGGGACACCAGAAAATGTCTCTCTAAAAGCCAGTTGTGTCTGGATTCTCTGTGACGTGTTCCTCTGGACACTGCAGGACTACACATAGACCGGCTTGAAAATAATTTCTTTAATTAAAGTGTTTAATATATAATTATTTCTGCAATATATTGTGGGTAATATACATATATTTGAACTGAAAATCAGAAGACATTAGAAAGGCTTATTTTTGTGTTATTTTCTGGAAACTTATAAATTTAATTTCATTTTGTGATTTTTTTTCTTATATGCCCCTTTGTTTCCTTTTTGTCAGGTTGCATTGTCCTCATACTTCCTTCTGTCACAATTCCTGCTATGCTTTACTCATAGAGAGGTGTGTGAAGGGCAGATAGGCAACGAATAAACACTGTTTCCCATCGCAGCAGGAGTGCAGTGCTGGCAGCCTGTGGGATGACCAGGGCCGGCATCAGGGAAGCAGCAGTCCCAGGCAGCTGCTGTATTTTCAAAACTGGAATTACTAGATTCTTAGTTTCAAAATTGATGTCTGACTGTTTTGTTAGTTTTTAGTTAATAAAATATCAACAGGGAATTGCTACTACCATGTGTAAATCTCTCTCTCTCTCTCTCTCTCTCTCTCTCTCTCTCTCTCTCTGCAATACATGAAATAGTGAACTTCTCTTTAAGAACAAGCATACTAAAGTAGTAAAGATACCTAAATAAATGATGACATGAATTCCAATTAGCTGGAAATAACTTGGTAATAAGTTTAAAAGCACATTTTAAAATAAAGCTAATACATAAGTCTTTTTCTTTTTGAAATAGTCAAAGCTTCTAGATATTAATTATAATGTATAACCACCTTTCTTATAAAAATTAGAATAAGAAGAGATTTTGTAGCTCTTTTGTATGAGAAAAAAATGATGTATCCACTCTCTTCAGAAGTACTAACACTGAAGCCTAGCTGATATATCTTCTGTCCAGTAGAGAGCAGTCACAGTCCATGAAGAGATATCTGAATTCAGGGCTCATGACTGAGCTCTGAATCTTTATGTCAGGTTCTAGCTGAGTCTGGACTTTATAGAGTACAGGCTAAATGTTCTCTCTTGTCTTCAGAATTCTTTCTCATGCCTGTTCTTTATATTAAAGTGTTTACATATCAATTTATATGAACACCATTTTGTACGTACACAAAGACTCGTGACTAGTTTGTGCTTACTTTAAAGTAAATACTTCAAAGAAATCTGTAGGAATACACACTATGTAGTAAAAAGAAACTAATATAGAGACTGAAGTCAAGCATGAAGTTAGGGGAAGCTTAATATTCCTGGAAAGGATAACTTAATTGTCAGCAGGAAGGCAGTCCTCATGGTGGCCACCCCCAGTGGCTAAAGGATGATGTCCTCGTGGAAATACAGTGAAATGTAATGGTGTGTGTGTGTGTGTGTGTGTGTGTGTGTGTGTGTGTTCACATGCGTATGGGTATGATTATACATTTGTATGTAGATGCCAGAGGTCAATATGCAGTGTTGTTCTTTAGGAGTGTTTTGAGATAGGTTTTATTAGGATTTAGGGCTAATCAATAAGAATGAAGTGGCGGCCGGTCAGCAGTTCCAGGGACCTGCTTGCCTCTACTTCCCGAGGGCTGGGATTAGAAGCACCTAGAACAACACCCAGACTTTTTTTAAAATGTGGATATGGGGGTTTAACTCAGGTCCTTATATTTGCATGGCAAGGACTTGAACATCTGAGCTATCTCCCCAGCTTTGAAATATAAAAAAAAATTGACAAGCAGGCAAATGAGGAAAAATTGAACTAAGATTCACAAAGAGAACTTTGGATGATATAATAAAAAATATGCATTAACAGTCATGAATTCAAATGTTATTGTTCATTTCATATTTCTTTTTTACTGGTATGAAATGTTTTGTACTTGCATGAAGTACTGTATGGTAATGATCTGCACATACGTGAATGAGTTCACACACACACACACGCACACACACACACACACACACACACACACACACACACACACAAAACCTGGAGTGATCACTCAGTGATAAGCCACTCTTCCATCTCTTCTGACATTAACTATTTTTATATGTTGAAATCTTTTGTACCCTCCCTGCTTTCCTGAAGTATAACCGAGCTTGTTTAAGAAAGTTGTTCCCTGAATGTAGAAGAGAAAGCCAGAACTGATTTCTCTCACCTAGCTGTGTTTTCCTGTTCCTTCATTCTGTGCTCTTCTTAGGTTCTAGTGACTGATATTCCATTCTGTGGTCCTGCGAGACTGTGTTTTCCATCAGTGAGTGAGGAAGTGTGCTGTTTGTCTTTCTGCGCATGCCTCATTTCACTTAACACTTCAGTTTTGTTGACATTAGCCATTCCTACTGAGGTGAGACAATATTGCATTGTGGTCCTGACTGTGGTTAATTTCTGTGAGGATTAATGATGTCCTTTTTTAATTTACTTGCTGGTCATTTCTGTATTTTCTTTTGAGGAATATCTATTCCGACATTCCGCTTATTTTAATTGTTATTTGTGGGGTTTTGTGGAGTTATTTTTTTTTGTATTTTATGTATTCTGGGTATTGATTCCTTGCTGGAATTGTTGTTTATAAATATTTTCTACAATTCTATACGCTATCTCTTAAACGTTAATTGTTGTCAGAACTTTTAATTTGATAGAATGTCATTTGTTGACTTTCAGTTTACTGTCTGTGTTTTGGGGATCCTGCTGGAACAAATCTTTCCCCACTGATATATTGAAGTGATTTCATGGCTTTAAGCCAAGCGTTTAGGTCTTTGATCTGTTTCATGTTGATTTTGTGTATGGTGAAAGGTGTGGCCCGAGTTATTTTCTCAGCATACAAATGTGCCGTCTTGTTTTAATTGATCTTTTATTATGCCAGAGGCGAGTAAACATGGGAAGACTGTCTAGTTCCATAGCTAGAAAGCCCATCTTTCCATATTCTTAGCTATCCGGGGGCTTTGAACGCTATGATGTGAAATCTTTGATTGCAGTAAACTCTGCTTCTGCAATATAGGATATTCCTGTTAAATAGGACTGAAGGATGAGGTGGCATCATGAAAATTCACAGGTTGTCCTGATGCTCTGTTTGGTCTTGGTCACAGAAGTCAGTCCGCCTCTGAGTAAATGTAATTGGCAATGAGGAATAAGACCCACTGGGAAAGGCACAGAGTGAAGCGTGTTCACAAGCCCTCCCTCAGGAGCAGACATCGCTATGAATGTGCACTGACAGTAGATTCATTCGGTACATTAAAGTGTTACCTTCTTTTATGTGTTAAAGACGCACTGATTTATCATCAACCAGGCATAACTCTTAAGGTGGTTTTACACAGTGGTGACATTACCAGAAGGCAGCCGCATTCTTTTTTTTGGCCATCCTTACAACCAAAGTCATACAATTTAATTGGTAGACAAGAGTTAGGTATATAATTTGTGGCCCAGAAGCTGACGAGAGCTTGCTGTCCCACAGACAGTGAACTTGAATG